GGCTACTCTTGACTGAATATTAAGTGTTTAATGAAATATCAGTGATATCAATTAAACCTATCAGGAGCATCATGAGACATAGAAAATATACAAATTTATAAGCTCTGTAGAGAGCTTCTGATAAGACACTAGAAGTTGTAAAACTTAGTTAAACTGAATCAGTCCTTCTTTTTTAAATCCCAAATGGCATCACAGGCATGAGCTGGTCAAAGTTATTTTGGTGTACAGTAATAGCAGAAGAATTGAAAAGTTAACTAGAGGATATGCTAGAAATGACTTGTGGTGTACATGTGTTTCTAAAACTACAGTTAAACATGGATCTGAATCGTATATACTTAACAAACTTTTCAACCCCTGCTGTCAAGTACACATAGTGATTAATGTAACAAAAAGGGTTGCATAAAACTACTTGGATGTAACCCTTCCTTTTGTAAACAAAGTACTTTGTTTGCCCTGAACTGAACATAATCTTGTAGCTAATTAAGCAAACAAACAAACAAACAAAAAAAAAAAAAAAAAAAAACACAAAAAAACTTGTCTTGCTTCTATTTCAATTCTATTTCCATCAGTAGCAATTGTGTAGGAAAGAGTGTATGAGTGCAAATACATAAATATATTTCTACTGTATATCCTGACAACCTGCAGCAAGCTAATGGAGCTCCTGATTTTTACATTTTGTTTTGGTCTTTAATAGTCCTTGATAGACTTTTCTTGCAGTTTTTGAACATTTTTTTATCCCTCAATACAAGTAATTTTTGGCATCCACAACATCCCTTGGAAAGGAGTTCCAATGTTGAGTTGTGTTTGTGATGAGGAAATATATTCTATTGTTTATTTTGAATAAGCTGCCTCATCATTTATTTGGTGCCCTAAGTTATGAGAGACTAGTATTCCTTCCTTACTCAATCTGTGATTACTACCTTGTGTGATGTTTCTGTGGTGTTTCTCTTTGGGGATGAAAGCCCTATTTTTTTTAGTTACTCATATAGTTATTCCATCATAGGTTTAATCTGGCACAGAACCATGATTTTAGGTCATGAACCGCTTTTGTGGACAGTGGGGATTGGCCACCTCAATTCATTTTAGAATCTGACTTGAAATCTGTTTCAGGCTGTTGAGACCAAGTATGGTTTTGAAATACGACACAAACTCCAAAGTCATTTGTCCAAGGGCAACATTTTCTGAAGTACTTGTGTTTTTTTCTTCAGAGATATAAATGCTATGTGAGTTTTGAATGCTTTTTTTGGTTACCTATGACTTCAAACAGAACAATATAACACTTAGATCAATTTGATGTAGTATTAAATGTTTAAAAATGAACAAAATATTGCTGCATTTCTGAATAATAAAAGTTATTATCATTTTCCATCAGTGCACTTAAATATAGCAGGTGGTAAGGGTCACAAATTGGATTTCAGGAAAGAGAGCCTTAAGCTTGTAAATAAGAAAAATGATAGTGAAAGATGTAGGATTTGTTTGAAGTGAAAGCTAAGCTTTAGTATTCCATTAGCTATTGATACAGTGGTGAGTAAATGGCAAAAAATAAAATGTTTAGCCTCTGCACAGGAAAAACATCACGTTTTAGATATATAAGCCTGTGAAAGAAGTATATGGGCATGTAAGGGTAGACTCAGATCCATAAGAAGCATCTGCCCTCTGTATGCTGAATTTGTCCATGGGCCTATAGCTACTGCCAAGTTAACCATGCTAAAAGAAAGAAGAAAAGAAAAAGAAATGAGACATCAAAACCAATCTAGAGCAAGTGCAGAGAGTAGCTTCTTAGATGCTTAAGGAACAAATGTTTTATCTTTCAAAGGAATCAAAAAGAATGTGACTTATTTAATCTATTGACCTAGAAAAGGAATGTCTGTAAAATCTATATTGCAGCAAAAGATTGCCTGATTTTGCATTTCAGCTGCAATTGCAGAAGCTGGAGAATGAGGGCAGAGCTGGAAGCCTAACAGCTGGGATGAGAAATTCAGGCAAATGCAGGGGGAGGAATGTTCTTGCTTAAGGTGAAAATTATGTGGTGGAAACACAACTCATATCAAGCAATGTTTTCTAAGCACTCTATCTGGTGCTTATATAATGTAATAAACTGGCAGTTTTATAAATATTCTGTGTAGAGCTCATTCACAATCACCAGTCTGTTTTCTGTTGCCAGTATATCTGACAGAAGTTGACTGTTATTGCCTATGAAGTAATTTGCTTAGTTGAATAATAGACTGCACATCTCTTTGGCACAAGATAAGCATTTAAAAATGGGAGTGTCAATGCGACTGACAGGGTTCTATTCATAATAGCTCAACGTGAATACATTTATCTTTTCCTCATCAATAAATTTTGCTCAGAGATAATACTACATCAAACAAATTCAACTCTGAGCTGTGGTAAAAGCATTTCTTAGTTCAGGATTAGTTTGGTTTTGTCACCTATAGTTTTGCAAGGTGTATTTAAAATGCAATCTTTCATACTGTTTATTTGAACTATTTTAAATCATTTATATTGTGCAGTGCTGTGGCTTCACGCACTGTAACAGTCACAAGCGTATTCTCCATGCTAAACCTTCAGATGAAAAATGTAGACTTTAATAATCTTTCTGTTAGACCATGTACTTTTGAGATATAATGTTTAAAAAACATGGCTGTGTTTTTTGATTTGCTAGATGTCCTTCGTTGCACTCTTTAAATAAATGAAAGGCGAAGATGAGTTTTCCCATTAGCAAACAGTATGACAGAATAATATGTGGTGTAATGATGTGGAAAAGTAGCCAATATAAATCGTCAGACTGTTGTTATCTGATAGGGGCATCACATGACTGCATCAGATTTATGTTCCAGAAGAGATTCGTTAGGATTTTTACAAATTTTTCTATTGTTTATATAGTATTTTTTTGAGAGGGGGCATCGGTGCTTTTTTGTTTCCATCAACTTCAGTGTTACATGATGTAAGCTAAGCTCAGCCCTCCTTAATCTGTGCATGCAAATTCTAAGCATGTTTTGTAGCTTTATTTATCCAGGAACACTATACAAATCTGATGTAAACAGAGAACTTGGGTATTTATAAGAAATGTTTATTAAGAGAAAACTAATTAATGGTATGATGCCCAATAGTAAAATAAAACATAGCAGGACCTTCACAAAAATAAAAACAGAGAAATTATATCCAATCATTTCCTTTTCAAGTGTTTGGTTTCTGCATTCTGTCTGATATATATTTGCCCCACTATGATGTACTGAATTCTCTCTTTTTAGAATCCTCTAGTATTACTTATGATTGGATGGCACGTGATAATTATACCTCTCATGAATTGCTCTTTTTGTTACAGAGACAGAAATCTGTTGAGTCCTTCAAATTCCCAAAATTGGTTGAAAGTATCTCTTGAAAAATGCTAAAAATCCAAAATCGTTTCTGTCCTCCCCTCATGTCTTGTTTCTATTCCACTTAAGTCTTGCTCTATAGGGAGCTCTTTAGGGAGCCTACAGAGAGGAGGGGAATCAATTAAATGAGGAGGTTGGTGATCCTCCATGTGGCAGGGGGGTTGGAGTTTCATGATCCTTGAGGTCCCTTCCAACCCTGGCCATTCTGTGATTCTGTGATTCTATAATAGTCTTTTGGTAAGCAGGTATCAGCTGGTAGAATTGTTGTAAAACTCTTAGATTTTTTTGTAAGCATGGCTTTCTTGTGAAAGTTGATATGCAAGATAGCTGAAGGTTTGGGTCCTCCTGGAGTGTCTGAATCTCTCCTTGTTTCAGTATGGAACTTGTCTCCTTATCCTTACAGTTTAATTTTTTGTTCTGAGCTAGATATAAAGAACATATAAATATTCTCTTGAGAGGGAAATTTCATAAACAAACAAACAAACAAACAAATAAAAAAATGCCTCTTGAGAGGGAATCAGTACACAGATAAAATTTCAGAATAAAATTTGCTGCAGTTCTGGATTATGGAGTCACATAATGAACTAATTTTTCTACCAAAGACTCCATGAAAACATGCTTCACAGACTCTCAGTGTTCTGCCGTAGAAGTTGACAGATGTAGATCTGTCTGAATGTAGCCAGTCATTCCACAGAGTCCACTCTCTTGTGTAGGACTCTCTTCAGGGGACTGGAGCACGTCCCCTGTGAAGACAGGCTGAGGGAGTTGGGCTAGTTCAGCCTGGAGAAAAGAAGGCTGCAGGGTGACCTCATTGCAGCCTTTCAGTACCTAAACGGAGCCTACAGAGTGGAGGCGAATCAACTCTTTGAAAGGGTAGATAACTGCAGGACGAGGGGAAATGGTTTTAAGTTGAGGGAGGGGAGATTTAGGTTGGATGTCAGGGGGAAATTCTTTACAGAGAGAGTGGTGAGGTGCTGGAACAGGCTGCCCAGAGAGGTTGTGGATGCCCCGTCCCTGCAGGTGTTCAAGGCCAGATTGGATGGGGCCCTGGGCAGCCTGGTCTAGCATTAAATGGGGAGGTTGGTGGCCCTGCATGTAGCAGGGGGGTTGGAGATTCATGATCCTTGAGGTTCCTTCCAACCCTGGCCATTCTCTGATTCTGTGATTCTGTGTGTGGATACAGGTTGAGACCTTGCTTTCTGGAGTGATCCAACAGAATTAGCAGTAATAGCACTTATCCTGGAGTCTTCTAAGTCCTATGAACAAATTTAGCATCTACAGTTCTTAGACTGAGCATTCATATGAGATAAACATATGATAACTGTATATGAGATGAGTCCTGTTGTCTGGACTCTGAAGTTACTTTCTCCATAGAAATCAAATCACTTTCTGGGCTGCAGTTTAAGTTCCAAGAATTAAATATCTCCAGTGAATTTTAGCATGGATCTTTGAATGTAGAGATGACAGATTCTGTATGCAGTGTGTAGAAGTAAATGAATGACGAATTCTGTGTGCAGTGTTGAGAAGTAAATGAATGATACTGCTTTACTTTCCATCAGAATTCTAAACATGACTTCATTTATATGCTATGTACATAACTTGATTTACTATTTCATTAAGGTTTTGGCATTGACAACAGGACATCTTTACCACAGATCAATTCTTTTCCGTTGGATAGTACACTTTTCAATATCTCCATACATGCAGCAATCCGTCATGGAAAATGGAAGTTACTAACTGGATACCCAGGTAACAAGTAACTCATTCTTGTACATAATGTTGTATCTCCCCCCATCCCAAACAGTTTTATTCTGTTTAATATATTACCATTTCTTTTACTTATTCTGCTAGCTTTTCAGGACTTTGGTCAAATGTACAAATCTAGAAGGGGCATTCTAAAATCCAATCTCATATTCTTTCATTTTGCAATTAAGTTTTACGCAGTTGACCTTTCAGCACTGGAAAAACCATCAAGAAGAAAGTCCATGAAATTCTTTGATTTGAAATTCAGCGACATGCAAGTTTTTGAATCTCAATGGTGCGGGGATTTTTTTATACAAATATAACTGATGTATATTTGGAATAGAGAGATTCTGGTGCTGGTCTAGCAATGCAGCTACAGTCACTGGCCAGTGATTTATCAGGGGGACCTGGAGATTTCCTCGTTTACAGTATAACTCTGCCTCTCCACTGCTGTTCCATATCTGAGAATTAACGCTCTGTTCCTGTTTCTGTAGGCTGCGGTCATTGGTTCCCTCCACCATCTTTGTTCACTGAGTCACAGATTCAGTCATATGATCCACCAACGAAGAGACTTTGGTTGTTTGATATTGTACATGATCCTGAAGAGAAACATGAGTTGTCTGAAAAACATCCTCATGTGGTGAAAAAGCTGCTTTCACGTCTTCAGTACTATTATAAACGTTCAGTGCCTGTGTTCTATCCTGATGAGGATCCCCAGTGTGATCCAGCAGCAACTGGGGTCTGGGGTCCTTGGGCATAGTGCACAGCACTGTATCCTGTAAAACATACCTGCAGTAGTGTTTGATTTATGGACTTCAGAATCCTAGTCACATCTGTCTTACCTTGTTGCACTGTTGCTAATTGTGAACTCATTCTCTGCTCATTCTTTAAGAGAACTTTTAAAATATGGAATCTTACTTCAATCCTTTCCACTTTCTCCTTCCCAGTTATTGTTTGTAAAATATTGATAAAATTATAAATCTGTTGTTCGAGTATTCTTTTTTAACATTATGCCCTTAAAGTAGAAAGTAAAATGTTGCCTCCTTCTCTGGAAGGGATTACTTTTGTTAAAAAGCTGCAGTGAGTCATGGCAGCAGAAATTTTCAGAATTCTCCTGTGGAATAAACAGATGTTTTTGTTTCATGTTTACTCAGGAGACAAATTCTATTGAAAGCTGTTACATTACCCATTAAAAATAAATTAATAAATGCATCAGTTGACATTACAATCTTTGCCTTTAACTTACACCTCTATCTAGAAAAGACAAAAGAAAGAATTCTGAGAGTAAGAAAAAAACCCTCAACCTCTTTTATAGTACAGCAAAATCATGAATTCCTGTCCATTGTTAACATGTCAAACGGGGGTAGAGAGAAGTGTTCAGATAGAGGGCAGAGCTGGCAGGCAGAAAGGCCTTGACAGGCTGAAGGAAAAGCTGAACCAAAAAAGTTAGAAAGTATAGCATTTGAGGTGGAGTAACCCCATGCAGGTTTTCTTGGCTCTGAGTAGACGGAAAGCATTTTCGTGAAAAAGAACCTGGATGTTCTACTGGACAATAAACTGAAGAGGAGTTGCCACATTCTTGGTCAAGAATACCAATCACTTGTTCGTCTATGTGGGCATGAATGTATCCAGCACGTGAAGAGAAGTGTTTATTCTTCTCTGCTCAGCAGGGTGTTTTGGGTTTCCCTGTGCATGGAATATAGTGCCATACTACAGGGCCAGGAATATGATCATTTGGAGGAGAACAAATAAGGAGGGATTAAAGAAGTGGGTTACCTTAGACTGAAGAAGAAAGAAAGGGGAGACTTCTATCTTTAACTGCCTAATATGAGGGCATAGAGAAGATGAAGGATATGGAAACTTCCATCAGAGATGTACAAAGATAAAAAACCCACAGAGAGATCTACTTCAATACAAGAAAAAAAAACAAAAAACAAAAAACAAAACAACACTGAGAAGGTAATCAGATTGGAGCTATGAGGCATTGGTATCCCCATCCTCAGATATGTTCAAACTTGGGTTGAAGGAGACCATGGACAATGTTATCAAACTCTGATGTTGAGTCTAACTTGAAGTTGGGCCTACTTCTGTGGGGAAAAAACAGATAATTTCCAAAGGGCCTTTCCGCATGCATTATTCAATCATTCTACAATTTAAAAAGCCTCACTCTTACTTCCTGCCATTGTGATGAGTAACCCTACTCAAATTTTACTTCTTTATTATTGTAGAAAACACTGTTTTCATCTTGAAGTGGACTCTGAGCTATGAAGAAACCAGACCAACTAACATTTCTCAGTTACTCATCAAATTGATGCGAAATCAACCTACCAGCTCTCTTAATGTATCAAGTCTCTGGAGTCTGGCCAGAGTTCTGGTATTGCTTCTCACTGTCCCTAGCCAAGTTCTCAAGCTGCAAAACTTCAGCTGTCACCCTATCAAAAAAGTAAGGATCTAATGGCCTATTTTCAGGGTCTAGGACAAAGTCCAGTAAGTTTTGCAGACATTTTTGCCATTTTCCCTCAGGAAGCGTGCTAATTATTGGCAAACATATTCACAAAGGATGAGAATTAACAGAATTCGCACATTTTTTAAATAAGAAGATAAGCCAGTGAAAAGGTAAAATTTAGGAAAACTCGATGTATGTGAAAATAAACAGTCTTAAATCTTTTGCTCCTTTTGCACCTAAAAGCAGAAATGAAGCCAAAGCTCTCCAAAAGGCTGTTTATCAGTACAGCTTTTTTTCCCCAGTCTTATGTCCTTGTCACTTTTATTCATTTATGTCAGTATTTTTTCTATTTTGTGTAGAATCGTAGATGGTTGGAAAAGACCTCTAAGATCACCTAGTCCAACCATCAGCCCATCGCCACCATGCCTACTAAGCCATGTCCTGAGTGTCACATCTCCACATTCCTTGATGGCTTCCAGGGGTGGTGACTCCACCACCTACCTTGGAAGCATATTCCAATGTCTCACCACTCTTTCTGAGAAGAATTTTTTCTTAGTATCCAACTTGAACCTCTCCTGATGCAACTTGAGACCATTACCTCTGTCCTGTCACTGCCTGGGAGAAGAGGCTGACTGCCAACTTGCCACAGCCTCCTTTCTAAGAGTTTTGTAGAGAGCAATAAGGTCTTCCCTGATCTTCTTCCTCTCCAGACAATTACAATTGCTCCCCATAAGACTTGTACTCCAGATCCTTCACAGCTTTGCTGCCCTTGTTTGGACACACTCCAATGTCTCAGTATCTGTCTTTGTTTCTCTTCAACCTTGAAGCTGGGGAAAGAGGAAGACTAGTTAAGGAGAAAATAATTATTCTACGCTGGGGAAACTGTATTCCCTGAGATTTGACTGGATAGTTTGTGGAACCCTGTGTCAAAACAAGGTTCAGTGTCCTTTTCCATTCACCTATCCTTGGCTGACAGCAAATGGTTACAGGAGAGTATAAACAGGGCAAACACGTGTGTTCAGTTCTCCAAATTGTCTCTGAGTTTAAAGTATGACTCACAGCCTCAGAGATTTAACTTTCTTGCATTTAGTCGCCTTCAATGATATTTTACTTTTTATGAGGTTATTCAGCTTTTCCTAAAATCCTTGTAAACTGTTGGTATTCATACAGTCCTCTTCCACATTTCTACAGCTTAACTACATGCTGAGGAAGCATTTCTGTTTGTTTATAGCCTACTTTCAGGTAATTTAATTTGCACTTTGTAAAATACATATGCAGAATCTCTTATATACCACTTTTACCAACTTTCATATTAATCAGTATCTGTAAAATATATTAAAACATAATTATTTTATGAAGATGTGATCTCCAAACTGGCATGTGACCATATCTCCTCCCGTTTTCTAAAGCCCATTTAAATGCTTCACACACAGCAGCATTGAATTTTTGAGCTTTTGAAGATTGTTTGTGATAACTGAGACTCAAATTCTTATTTGCTGTCCACAGCAAGGAATGGAAAACATTACCAACAAAACCTAAGTCATAGCGGCTTGACAAATCTTCCATCTTACAGCCTTAAAAATATTTTATTGCACTTCCCTTTCCTCACTGTAAGGATATATTTATTTTACCCCAATTCCATTATTTACCCCTGTTTATAACTTAGATGTTAATACTGCAATTCTAACTTTCTTTATCTAATTTTCTGTAATATATATTTAATAAAATATGGAATATGAGATTAGGAATATGGGAATATGGGGAACATCAATACAGCAACTTTGCAAGTTACTGCTTCTTTACTTTATGCATTATTGATGCAGCTTGGCCTTCAGATGACTTTTTGAAATGAATCATCCAAATTAGAGGTTCTGTCAGTTTAGTCCTCTACTCCTTATTCATTCAAAATATGTGGTTAATTTATTCTTTCAACCAAATTTCAGATGGAGAAATTGACAACCATTCCCTTGTTTATAAGGCAAGACAAGTAGATCCAATGCTTTTATATTGCTGTCACTTTTGAAAGAGTTGATTGGGTTTTTTAATGCATTTAGCACTGCATCTGCACTCATGGATACATAAGACTGGAAAGATTCTCAGTCAGTATCCACATATAACCTTTTAGTCTGTAAAGCAATTACATGATGTGGCTGTCACAATAAAAGGGACCGGACTTGGGGGTGAAGGGAGAGTAGAACTTCTGCCCTGCGTCCCTGTATGTCATTCAGCATCCTGCAATTACATTGCATGATTTTCAGTGCTGGCTTACCCACAAGAGTGGAAACTTCGGTCAACAATGTTTTTAAAACAGATTCTGTTTTTATTACTGTGAAGCCCATTTTCATGGAAATGAAAGAAGCATGAGATAACTTGCAAAAGCTCAAGTAATTTGCATATTTGAGTCTCCCATCTATGTCAGCTCCTTGGCTAAAGCAACAACAAATATTAACTTCAGAGGTAAGTAGAGCTTTTGTATTATGTTTTCTTTTATCTGTGCCCTGCAATGTGCATTTTAGTACCTTACTGCTAGGAGTTTGTCTGGCAGGAGGAGACTGTGGCCTATTACTGTCTTCTTTAAGTATTAAATTCACTCTCTATTTCCCTTTTTTTCTCACAAAGATATGATATATTTTGACATCCAAGGATTCATTATTTTCTCCAACAATTCATTGTATATTTAAATTCCTAATTATTTTACATGGGTGGTCCTGTGTAAAATATTTTAACTGAACTGAGTCAGTAAAAAAGACAAACAGCTGTTTGACACATCCAGGTTCACATCAGAAAAGAGCCATGTACTCTACAATTATTTCAAACTGGGAAGTACAGAATCCTTTATATGTTTTGTGGAGACTCATATGATGTTCAAAAATGCATTTTGAACTCTAAAGAAAATTTGATTGCATTCTTTCTAATTTAAAATTCATTCTTAATGTAGCAAACACCGAGGATTTTGAAATTGAAAGTGTCCATTTGTGTATTGTAAAAATCATTTAAGCTTTGGAAATGTAATGTTTAGGAAGGAAGTACATTCTGCAAAAGGATGCACACAAAGAAGGAAATAATGATTTTATAAGCAAAATCTGGGCCAGTTCTTAAGCCTTAAATTCAGCCTAAAAATAATTTGTAAAGTTTTCTAAAGTTAGTATTTGGGGTCTTGAATAAAACACTTATGTTTAATCTTTTTATAATCTCTGAACAGTAGAACCCAGAATTTAAACCCTTGTGGTCTGGATGGATTTGAAGATCCCAAGGCTGTTCCTGTTGGCCTCTGGAAGTTTGTCTCTTTTGTCACAGTGGTTTAACAGTAGTAACACTAATAGGGATTTCCAAAGCTCTTGCATGTTTTCTTTAGAAAATTATAAATGAGCTTGAGGTTACATGGAGAATCCTATTATACCTGTGCCACCCTATTGCAGACTTAATGAGTCCTGGTGGAGGGAATGACAGTGACAGAACTATTGATACAGGATGTGCTATAGAGTCATGCACCCAAAGCATGTATTCTGTGTGTGTAGTCATGCTTGAAATCCCAGAGCCTGGGAAACCTGGATGAGAAATAGGAAAAACAGTCTGAATAATGAAAACTTGACAAAGAAAAATATATGATGTCATGCAGTATGTGGTGATCCAAAATCTATCCATGGGTTGTGGTTAGTCTAGGAAGACCAAGCCGTTTCCAGACTGTAGCTGGCAAGAGATAATTCTTTTCCATTTGGCAGCCCACTTGCAGGCATTTCAGGGTACAGGCAGCTGTGCCCTGAGGT